ATCCAGAGATCAGATGACTTTCTATGCCTATTCGGACGATCTATCTATCTATCTATCTATCTCAATTTTTTCATATCTATCTATGTATCTATCAATCTATCTATGTACCGATATAAATCTCTTCATATCTATCGATAAAGATTAGAGAGAAAAAGAGAGATAGATAGATAGAGAGAGAGAGAGAGAGATTTACATAACGTATAGGTTCATGTCAAAATCTTCATGACTTTAACCCTCCTCCCTCTCGTTTGCTCGATATATATATCATTGTATTTTTTATCTGTCAGACTGTCCATATATATATATATATATATATAGATATATATATATATATACGCATACGCACAGACACAGACACAAACACCACACATATATATATATATATATATAGGAATTGGGATCAAATATAGATTGGTATCCGATAGCCAATTCTTATCTATCTATCTATTTATCAATTGATTTCTTTTTTTATTTCATTCTATCTCAATCCAATCTTATCTATCTATCTATCTATTACAATCGCGTTTTCTTTCTTTCTTTCTAACCCAACTTCTTCATATCTATCTATCTACCTACCTACCTACCTACCTACCTACCTCTCAGTGTTCAGATGCCTTACTTGCGTCTATATCTACCTTAACATTTACAGAACCACTTTTTATCCCGTTCTTCTATAGCGAACAGATTCTGTTCATTTTGATCTGCCTCTGATTTTATTGATCGAATGATCGATCTGTCACTTTGTTTACATTCCCCTAATATTTCAATTAATCGATCATTTTGTTATTCCTCTCAGATATCTTTCCATCTCTTTCGCCTCTCTCTCTCTCTCTCTCTATTTATTTATCTCTCTCTGTCTTAAAGTTATCTCTTTCTTTCTACTCTTTCTCCCCTCCTCACATTCTTGATATCACGTAAGCAATTACCACCCAACTCTTTTGTCAACGACACCCCATCCCGTCTCTTCACTCCTATCTCTGTCGTTCTCTCTTTCTGCCATTTGCCGTCTTCCCATCTCTACACCAATCTCATCGATCTATCTATCTATCTATCTATCTATCTATCTTAGTCTGATCATAGCGATTTTCCAAGCGTAACTTGGATGTGGCACAAGGCCGAATGTAAGGGGCACCCAGTGAGGATCGAACTCACTACTCATTCGTAATTGTTCTAGCGAGACAAGCTTGCTAACCATTACACCACCTTGAGGTGCCCATCTTAGTCTGATCATATATGCCTATTTATTTTCATATTTATCTTTCACCATGTTCAAATCTATCTGTCTATCTACATATATATATATATATATATATATATATATATATATATATATATATATATATATATATATATATATATATATATATATATATAGAGAGAGAGAGAGAGAGAGAGATCTATATACATACATATAATTATAAAAGTGAACAATCGTCAACACTTAGACGACAGTCTTTCATGCTAGACGCAATCGTCATGGCGATTAGCATGAAACAGCCTGTCGCCTCTATGTGTTGACTTCAATATTCACTTCTATATTTACACACGCTCTATCTCTGATATTGAGCACTTTATCCCATATATATAGCACACATTAAAACTATATTTCTTCATATATAGATAGATAGATAGATAGATAGATAGATAGATAGATAGATTTGAACATGGTGAAAGATGAATATGAAAATAGATAGACAGATATGATCAGACTAAGATAGATAGATAGATAGATAGATAGATAGATAGATAATGATCAGACTAACATAGATAGATAGATAGATAGATAGATAGATAGATAGATAGATAGATAGATAGATAGATTGATTGATCACGATCCAGTTCATCAGAGGTCTGATGATTTGGATTGTGATTACAATTCTAATGTAATAAATTTTAACCATGGAATATTAGTGTTTGAACTTTTTCTATTATATTCTAATTATGTACTTTAAAAATCAGGAAGTTATTTGAATCTGCTACCTTGTTTTTAAATTTACGGTATCCTCAGGCGATTTTTTCTCAGATGACCACCTAATGCTTTTTTATTTATTTAAAAAAAAAAAACAAAAAAGTAAAGAACACTACATTATTATTTTCAAAGCTAAATAAATGAACGACTTTGGGTGCAATAGAAAGGGAGGAGGAGGATATGAAGAAGAAGGGGGAAGAGAAGTAAAGCAAAAGAATTGTAAATGCATCGATGGCGGGGGGGTAAATTACATTTTAATCCAGCCTTATATGCACTTAATAAAAAATTTCAGATATGTATGCAAGGGTTTATGACTCCAGATTTCTGGTTTAAAAGGTTTTTGGGATCCGGAAATGTCATAATCGCGATTTTTTCCTTTTAGAAAAGGTTGCAGATACGGTTGTAGCTCTTGATAAGGTGGGAAGTTTAAAAAAACTTTCCACCTTATCAACGGATCCCTGTTATTTTTTTTTCTTTTAAATTCCACATATGGTTAGCTAGTTTGGTAGAGTACCTAAGATTTGCTAGCTTAAAAGACGACCTATGATTGTACCATCTACGTTTAAACGTACCTTCTGTACATCCTATATACGTTTTATTTTGGCCATTGTTATCGGATTTTCAAAGTTAAAAGTTCTACATGTTATTTTTACTCTTGTGTTTTTACACATGTATTGAGCAATTTTCAATACTATCGTTTACTGGTCTGATTCAACTTTGACCATTGACCTTTTATATATATATATATATATATATATATATATAGAGAGAGAGAGAGAGAGAGAGAGACAGAGAGACAGAGAGAGAGAGAGAGACGTCCCATCCCGTCTCTTACATATTTACATACGCTCTGGTATTGAGCACTTTATCCCATAAATATAGCCCACCTTAAAACTATATTTCTTTATATAGATAGATAGAAATAGATAGATAGATAAAGTGAACATTGAAGTCAACACTGTTTCATGCTAGGCGCAATCGTCAGGCCACCGGGATGGGACGTCTACATATATATATATATATATATATATATATATATATATATATATATATATATATATAAAATATATAATATATAAATGGTCAAAGGTGGCCTGACGATTGCGTCTAGCATGAAACAGCCTGTCTCCTCGAAGTGTTGACTTAAATGTTTACTTTTTTTTATTTACACACGCTCTATCTCTGATGTTGAGCACTTTGTCCCATAAATATAGCACACCTTAACAGTATATTTCTTCATATATATATATATATATATATATATATATATATATATATATATATATATATCCAATTGTTTTGCGCCCTTCTTTATTTCTTTCTTTTTTTCTTTCTATCTCAACTTATTGCTGTGTATATATCTATGCTAATCGCTTTCTTTGTCTTTTCCTTACTTTCTTTCTTCATTTCTTCCTTGCTGTATATCAATGTCTATTCATATCTATCTAACTACCTATCTATAAGGTTCAGTTCTTTCATGTATTTATCTATTAATTTATCTATCAATCGATCTATCACTTCTTTGTAAAATTCTTTCTATCTGAAGCTATGCATATCTCTCTCTATCTATCAGTCTATCAAGCAATGTATCTATTTATAAATATCAGTTCTTTCATGTATTGTTTCTGTTAATTTATCTATTTGTCTATATATCTATTTATCTATCGACCTATCGATCTATCTCAGGCCGTTCTCTCTTTCTTTATTTCTTTCTTGCTGTGTCTTCCTAATCATATCTATCGATCTATCGATCTATCTAGCTATCTAAGTTCGTTCATGCATCTATCTTTGAATCTATGTCTCTATAAATAAATCTATAAATACATTTATCTGTCTACCTATCTCCGTCACTATCAATCTATCACAGTCGTTTCATCTATCTATCTATCTATCTATCTATTTATTTTATCCGATTCATATCTATGTATCCATTAGACTATCTATCTATATCCGTTCATGTATCTATCGCTATATCTATCTATCTATCTATCTATCTATCTATCTATCTATCTATCTATTCATATCTATCTATCTATCTATCTACGTATCTATTTCAATCGTTTTCTTTCTCCTTTATTTCTTACTTTCTTTTTCCTATCTAATCTTTTTCATATCTATCTCTTCTAATCGCTTTATTTCTTTCTTTCTCAGCCTATTTATCTCTCTCTCTCTCTCTCTCTCTCTATATATATATATATATATATATATATATATATATATCACAGTCTTTCATAAATTTATCTCTCTATCTGTTTATCGATCTCATTTGGTTCATTGTTTTATCTATCTATCTATCTATCTATCTATCTATCGTGCTCTGTTCATATCTATCTATCTATCCCGCTCTATTCATATCTATCTATCTATCTATCTATCTATCTAATTATGTCAGTCTGCTCATATCTATCTATCTATCTATCTATCTATCTATCAGCCTCAGTTCATACAACTATCTATTGATTTATGTATCTCTGCAGCTATTCCAATCGCTTTCTTTCTCCTTCCATCTTTCTTTCTTCCTATCGCATCCTATTCATATCTATCTATCTATCTATCTATATATATATATATATGTGTGTGTGTGTATATATATATATATATATATATATATATATATATAGATAGATAGATAGATAGATAGATAGATAGATATATCAAAGTCTGTCATGAATTTCCTTCATGCATCTCTCTTTCTATCTAACTCTCTATCTTAGCCAATTCATATCTATCGACCTCGATGAATTCGTCTCTATCTATCTATCGTTTTTTGTTGTATTTTTTTTTTTTTCGTTCTTGCTATATATGCCTCTTTATATCTATCTAGCTAATTATTATTACCGGTTCCTTTGTTATTAATGTTATTCTTTCTTTCGTTCTTTCTTTATATCTCTGGCTATTCATATCTATCCATCACACTTTCATGCATTTATTTATCAACGTAACTATTAATCTTGCACAGTCGTTTCTTCTATCTATCTATCTATCTATCTATCTATCTATCTATCTATCTATCTATCTATCTATCTATCTA